AAATCGATTGATGAGGAGAGTCCTTCTCGGACAAGAATTGGGTTACCTACGTGTCGTGCCAGGTCTAGTATATTCGAGTCCTACTCGGAGAGCATCAGACCTGCGATATAAAAGGAACCCCCCGGGGAGGCCATGGATCATCGAATCTCAGAGCCAACACAACCCACACAGCCTACGAAGCCGGAGCCTGCGAGGAGCCAAGTCGACGAGAGCTAGTCGAATCAACTCGACTACAATCTCGCCAAACCCCCCGAGTTCCATCTTTTCCTTTGTAACCTGTGTTTTCCACCATATAATCCCATGTCAACTGGATTAGGGCTATTACCTATCAAGGGGCCTGAACCAGTAAAATTCTTGTCTTTTGATTGCTCGATGTCGTACTACGTAGATCCTTGTACCAGCGTACCCCAATACCCTCTATATCCGGTCTACGGGTATCACCCGTCGACACAAACCACAAGTATTTGGATAACTATTCTCATTTTGAGGGTCTCTTATCCAACTTGAGCACAAACCAATGCCTGAACTCATATAGTCATCGATAACTCTACGTCCAGTGCTAAAAGTGAACTGTGATAAAACACTGCTAGCTTGAATAGCCAAAAAAAAGAAATTCGTTGCCATACTCGACAAAACAGGAGACCTATGAGCATTTACCTTCCAATAACCAAGTAAGTTGAATGCATTATTATCTATGGGCACAGTTGCTTCATCAACATAGATGAGTTATTCATACTTTGAAGATTCAGTAGCATTAGATTGCAAAGAGGACTGGAATCCACTTGGAACAATAGAAGCCAAAGAGTTGCATGCATCCTTCCAAGATGAGGCTGAATGAGCATCGTGTGGGTTATTGTCACCTACTTTCTGGCGATAGATCTTCTCGAATGTCTTTCATAGCTTATCCAACTCACCAGTGATGGCATCAAGCTGTATGCTAGCTCTTATGCAGTCATAATTTTTTCCGAAGAACAATTTAATGTATCTCATTTTGATCAAGGACTGTAGCAATAACCATGATATTGTTTGTGCTGTCCCAATATTTATCAAATTTCTCTAACATTGCATTAGCCATATTCTTCAAAAATACATTACTAGACCGTTGTGCCACCTTGAATACAATCTTAACTCTCACTATGTAATGATAGAAAACATTGGTAGTGGGGTATGTTGACCCTAAAATTGCAGTACATGCCCCAACCATTATCCTTAAAAGTGGTTTTATTTTCTCCCCGTTTTCTTCCAAGTTAATGGAGTTGAGCTACGGCAAATAACCCAAAGTCGTATACTTGATCCAGTCGCACCGCACGAGCGACTGGCTAGTTGGTTTAACTCGGTTATTAATTGAGCAATTAGCCGAATGAAGATTTTTCTGTTGCTGATTAGGTTCAGTGACTGATTAAATAGCAAGCAATTATAACATTAGTCAATCAAATCAAACCACAATACTAGAGAAAACATGTTAGGTGTTGCTTGGGAACTAGTCATAGGAGCCAGATTTCTCAACCAGTACCTAGCACACTGATGACTTTGGTTGGGAACCAGCTATAGTTTAGAATATGGATGTAGAACAGGCACCTATAAGACATATAGGTGTTGGATTTTAGGTAAGAACTAACACATATATGGCATTATAGGTGTCGGTTCTAAACTAACGTGCCACGTTGCTATCCATATAGATGCCGGTTCTTTAAAACAACCGGCACCTGTACATAAATAGCATATAGGTGCAGGTTGTTGACTGACCTACACACGTGGCAAAGAATATACGTGCCGGTTTGTAATTAAAACCCGCACCTTCCTTTGAAAAAATAAAAACCTGCACCAAGATGCTGGCAAGAAAAAAAAATTACAGGACCTACCAATTTCCCATACAAATCATACCATCACAAAAATTCCACATACAACATCCACATCCACATACTAACACACACAAGTCTTTTTGTGTACACACTGCACATACCAACCAAAAAATATTTAAAATTTTTCTATTAATATTATTACAAGAGTAAATTGCACCCACGGTGCAACAACTTAGCAGGTGGGTGCAATTTGGTACAATAAATTGAGAAATGAGCGTTCTAGTACAACAACTTGGCAGGAAGGTGCAATTTAGTATAAATGCAACAACCTGTAAGGTAGGTACGATTTTGATACAATAAATTAAGAAAGTACATGACAACTTAATTATTTGGAGCATTTTTTTATATAAATTCAATTTTTTAAGTACTTATTTTGACAATATACTAGCGCGGATTTGTATAAGCATATTTATATTTTTTTATCCTAATTACTAATAACTTAAAGTCAATTAAACTGGATGTAGAAATTATTATATTTCGGTTGATATTTGAGAAGGTGAAGAAAATAAAAAAATCTTAAAGGTAATTGGATGTAAATTGTGTGTGCAGTATAATTCTTAAAGATTAAATTCAATATTATAAGGTAATATCTGTAGGAATACTGTGTAATGGCATATTTACATCGTGAAAAAAACTCACATAGCATATGCTTAGCCAAGTTGATGCACCAAAATACTAAATTGTCAAGTTCTTATACTAGAACACACATACTTATCAAGTTGTTGCACTCGGACGTTCAATTCTCAAGTTCTTGCACTATATCGCACCCACCTGCCAAGTTGTTGTATCGTGGGTGCAATTTACACAATTCCGTGTAAAGTATCATCTTTAAATTAATTGTATAGGGAGAGACAAAAAATATCAAATTATGACATATTTGTACTTCAAAACTGTCAGAATTTTTTCTTTTTCGTTATGGGTAAAATATAATGAATTTGGGGGTGAAAACATTACACATAAGTGTAATATTATTGTAAGTACATAGTACAATATTATTTTCTAAGTTTTATTGTGACATTTGTTAGTTGGTATGCACAATGTGTAAATCTTGTGTGCACATGATATATTCCGCACATCAATAAAGTTCATATCATAACTATTCAAACACATTACACATAGAGTAGCTTACATAATACTTCCATAATTCATGCATAAACGCAAATTAAATACAATTTTTGCAAACAAATCTAGCTACTTGGTTTTTCTCTTCTTGGAGGAGAAGGCGCCGCCTGACGCTGGAGCCAGATGCTACCACTTCTTCCCCGAGCCCGGTTCCTCCGCTATGCGGCCGCTGCATGGTGAGCACTCCCAGCGCCGGCCACCTCACCTCCTCCAATCCGCTGGAGAATCATCACTACTATAGGTCGCTTTGCCATCGCGATCGCCCGCTGGAATGAAAGAAGAGAAAGGGGATAAAATTTTGCGTTTCCTTGGACCGACATGTGGGCCTACACTGATGGAGAAGTGGTTTTTACTCCCGGTTGGTAACCCCCTGTAGTTCCGGTTTTCCAACCGAGACTATGAATCCGGGACTAAAGATTGCTATCTTTAGTCCAGGGTGAAATAACCAGGAGTAAAAATTCATTTTTAACACCAACCGGGACTAAAGATGGAGCCCTTTTAGTCCCGGTTGGTACCACCAACCGGGATTAAAGATGGAGCCGGGCTAGATCTGGTTGCTCCTTTATTTTTTTTCTTTTCTTCATTGTTTTTAATATATTGATTTCACCCCATCCCCGAATCCCAAATCAATCATCCCCGAATCGTAAAATCTCAAATCAATTATCACCTCCAAATCCTCAAATCGATCATCTCCAAATACATCACAAAATCTTAAAAAAATTACATCACATGTTCTACAAAATTCATCACAAATATATCACGTATTCACATCACACACAAATCAAATACATCTCAGATCCGAATAACAAATTTTCAAAAAAAAAAGAAACAACCCAAATAGATATTTAGTCCCGGTTGGACAACCGAAACTAAAGAAAATATAGGGGTCCACTACCTGCCCTCTTTTGAACCGGGACTAAAAATGCTCTTTAGTCCCGGTGTTTAATACAACCCGGACTATTGTGAAATTTGGCCAACCGACCAAAGATGGTTTCTCCAGTAGCGCTACCCCGGTCCCACCTTCCCTAATCCACAACAATAAGCCCTCCTCGAATCCCTCTCTAATCAGTCGATGACATGTGGGCCCATACCCGTGGAAGAAACTGATTAAAATCTTGTTTAAGATATGGTGTCACTGACGTGTGGTCTCTATGGCCACCATGGCATGGTCAACTATAACCCCGGCCCCACATGTCAATACCACATGCCCTTTTCCTTAGAGAAAATAATTTCAAATAGGAATATTAACCCGTAGACCCCTGCTGTCAGTGATTCTAACGTCTCCCAGAAGGGTAATTTCGGAAAATTAGTTTAAAATGACTTGAGAGATTATTTCTGTGAAGAGAAATATGAATTAAAATTTGAAAACTCATAGGTAATTCAAATAAAGTCCAAATCAAGTGAAACTTGTCTCTAAAATTTTGTAAATTCAAGCTGTAGAACCCAAATAGGAAATAACATAAACTAGGTAATTAAATATCCGTACTAAAAATAATGTTAACTCCAAGTAATGGGAATAAAGATTAACATGTAAATTGCAAAAGACACTACCATGAGACATGAGGAACTCTTGTTTTACGAATCATGATGAAGATGAAATCTTTTCACAACATTTCAGATATGCAATCCGGTTTCATACCAATACTGTAACTGTTATAAAATAAATAAGTCACATGCATGAGGATCTAGTACAGATATAAAATAAGGGAAACAGCTCTAACATTACTGTATCTATGTTCAGAATTTCATTGTATTAGCATTTGCTCGACGAGATCATCAGTAATTAGTAAGTGTGAACATGGTGAGCAAAGCGTACATTATCTTACTACGAAGCTAGCGTACGTTCACTGACGAGCTTACATACAGAGTAACTTCTCTGCTACGCAGACATCCCTGTCTACAACATCACACAAGCACGGGATGTACAAATTAATTACTTAATCTAAGCTCTCCTAAGCTAGTATATTAACCCATGCCATGCTATATCCACTTCACAACCCAAAGCCATCAACCAAACGAGTACAGATCAGAAGCAGTAGTGAGCAACCACTGACAAAGTCTGATCAACCATGGCCATCCCCAAGGCTCTGCTCTTTGCCATCCTCAGCTGCCTCTGCCTCTGCAGCGCTGTTCTAGCAGCTCGCGAGCAGAGCGACCACGCAGCCATGGTGGCGAGGCACGAGAGGTGGATGGAACAGTATGGGCGGGTGTACAAGGATGCTACTGAGAAGGCACGTCGATTTGAGATATTCAAAGCCAACGTCGCATTCATCGAGTCGTTCAATGCAGGCAACCACAAGTTTTGGCTCGGCGTTAACCAGTTCGCTGACCTCACCAACTATGAGTTCCGGGCGACGAAGACCAACAAGGGATTCATTCCTAGCACGGTTAGGGTTCCTACCACATTCAGGTATGAGAATGTTAGCATTGACACGCTTCCAGCAACCGTGGACTGGAGAACCAAGGGCGCTGTCACACCCATCAAGGACCAAGGCCAGTGTGGTAAGAAAATTCAAGCCACTTTGCCACTGCAACATTTTACAAATCATCTGTAAAATGTATTGAATCGAAAGTGTAAACATGAATAATTATTGTAGGTTGTTGCTGGGCATTTTCGGCCGTGGCAGCCATGGAGGGTATTGTCAAGTTGAGCACGGGCAAGCTTATCTCCCTCTCTGAGCAAGAGCTTGTTGACTGCGATGTTCATGGCGAGGATCAGGGCTGCGAGGGAGGGCTCATGGATGATGCCTTCAAATTCATCATCAAGAATGGTGGCCTCACCACTGAGTCTAAGTACCCATACACAGCGGCAGACGGCAAGTGCAATGGTGGATCCAACAGCGCCGCAACAATCAAGGGCTACGAGGATGTGCCAGCTAACAATGAGGCCGCACTCATGAAGGCCGTGGCAAACCAACCTGTTTCTGTTGCCGTGGATGGAGGCGACATGACATTCCAGTTCTACTCTGGTGGCGTGATGACCGGCTCATGCGGCACTGACTTAGACCATGGGATTGTAGCCATTGGCTATGGCAAGGACGGTGATGGCACACAATATTGGTTGCTGAAGAACTCCTGGGGCACAACATGGGGTGAGAATGGCTTCCTGAGAATGGAGAAAGACATTTCCGACAAGAGGGGCATGTGTGGGCTTGCCATGGAGCCTTCATACCCAACTGCGTAATTTCAATATGTGTATTCTAATGCCACATATGTATGTACGTAGTAAATAATTATATGTATCATGCATGTTCAATGCATAATTGCATATATCAGTTTATGCTATGTCACGCCCAGAAATTCGACAACCCGAATCTCAAGCAGGATGTGTATTAAATCCCTATCCAAGACCAGTCAGGGTACACAAACGACAATTTGATACAGTTCCACGACTTAAAAAATAACAAAATAAATTTATAACCCTCATTTTTTTATTTAATCTAAAGAACTAAAGAAATAAACTTAATCTTCACGACCAAAGCGAAGCTTTCTCCATACAATCCTCGATGTCCAGAACAAGCTCAATCCTCAGAGAACTCACCATCTGAACCAACTTCTGCTCCTGGGGTGGGGGAAAAAAAGCAAGACTAAGTACCAACCACTGTACTCAACAAGCCATACCAAGGGGAAGGTATGATGCAAGGATATTCAAATGAATGGCTCATAGGATAGTTTGCAGTAAAATCAGCATTTATAAAGCATGATTTGAAAGAAGTAAAAACAATATAAGTAATTAAGGAGTATTAACATCATCACTGTCCAACGCTAAATCACGTCGCAACAGGGCCAACCAAAACCACCTAAACTACACCAGTTCTATAAGTCAAATTGTTATAGTGGGACTAATCACGGTGAGCTGGTTGACCGCCCAATAACCGCGGGCACGGCTATTCGAATAGTTTTACTCTGATCAGAGGTGCACAACTTTACCCACTAGACACGATTCCATACATGTTACCATGCCCCGAAGTACCACCGAGATACTGCAAAGGGGGAAATCGTGACAAAACCCGTCATATAACCCTCCCTAACCGAACATATGCACCTCAGGTTTCACCCCCTCCTTATTCGAAGTCGGGCAGTCCCCTCTCGTGCCTAGGTAAATCTGGCTATAGTAGAGACCAAAATCCAGGTCTGAACTGCACCATCGCCTCTACCCTTGCCATGGTATGTTATCTAGTTTAAGTTATACTCTAGATTTAGCCTGGAGCTCATCTGGCCTGTGGTGAGTACGAGTATATCTTCTAGGGATTCCCGAGAAACCGGTCCTTAATTGTCATGGGCACGACTTCCAGAAAATCATGCATGTACCCACGACCCACCATTAAAGCAAATTTTAATTTAATTAAACCATAACCATGGTGGTGTACATAAAGTAATTAAGGACTAAATTATAATAAATCAAATATAACCCAAGTTATCAAAGGCACAAGATATTCATCAGGCTGAGAATAAAAGGCATCCATACCACATGACATTCTAAAACAATGCAATTTTAATAGAAAGCAGGGGATTTTGTAAAATAGGCTCAATATAATCAATGATGTATGTATGACTTGCCTTGCTCTTGAGCTGACTGAACCTCGGCAACCACTTCGAAATAAACTGGATCACCGGAACTGACGGAATCTAAACGACAAACAAAGCACACAGGTGATACAAGCAATAAGTCTACTGAAATAGCAAAATAAACAAATTTTAATGGATTCTATACTTTTTAACGGATTCACTGCAATTTGAATGGATTAAAACGGAGCTCGGATTATTAAGTTCTGAATTTTAAAAGATGAGCTGCGTTATTACTAATAACCGAAAAAACCTTAGTCAATTATTACACATTATTGCCCATAGATAAATAGATCAATGGAATTATACCTCCGGTAAGAAAGCCTCAAGAATTAGTGACTCAACGAGTCAACTTATCGTGCCATGGGGCCATCCCAACGGTCAACCGAACCGGCGAACGGAATCGGCGGCTTGGAATGACAACAAAAAACTAGACACAGTTTACGGTAGAGACTCGGTACGGCAAACGATAGGCCGGTATGAGTTTAGGGCTGCACCTAAGGCTTTGCTATTCGGCTACCGAGCTACGACACAACGGCAAACTACGACGGCGACGCGGGAGAGTGGCGGCGGCGCCTAGAACAACGGCGGCGGCGGCTCGGCTCGGCTTGGGATCGGCTAGCGGCAGCGACGGCGGCGGCTAAGGCGGCGGCGTGGCAACAGGAGGTGGCGCGGCAGCGGCGGCAAGGCGACGACAGCGCCAGGGCACGGACGGCAGCGGCGGCTCGGGCTAAACAACTACGGTTTCCACAATGACGCTAAAAAGAAACAACACCTAAAACAGAGAATTACGGATAGGTTCCTCACCAAACTGAGGCGATCGGCGAGAAGGAAACGACGACGATGGTCCAACGGCAACACGCGAAGGCGACAACGACGTTGGATCAAAACCTAGGACGAAAACAAATAAGAAATGGATAGGTAATGGCGATAGCCATGACACGGAGATGGTGAAACGGATTACCAGTGATGCAAGGGCGACGACGGCGACAATGGGGAGGCGGCGGCTACAGGAGGTGGCTGGCGGCTAGAGCTAGGACTCCAACAAAATGAAGAACAGGGAAAAACGAAGGGGTATGGTGGCTTATATAGGGGTGGAGATAAAATAGGTGGGGCCGGAGGGGAGAGGAGGGGAGTCGGCAGGGGAGAGGGAGAGGAGACCGACTCGGTATGGCAGAGGGGAGGCACGCGCGGCCGAGGTGGAGGGGCGGCGGCCGAGTGGGAGAGGGGGAGGGGAGGAAAAAAATTGGAGAAGGAGAATAGGATTAGGACTTTCCCAAAAAGGAAAACAAATGCGGTGTCGTTTTAGGAAAAGAACGAAAACGGTCCCGCGAACGATAACGGACATGGCGAACCATGCAAAACGAAACCGTGGACAGAGAGGGGAGTGAATCGGGCACGATTCACGACCAAAGGCGGGGAAAAACTATTATTACTTCAAAACTTGACAAATTTTTAATTAACCACATTAACTCCGATGCTCTTTAACTTCCTCTTTAAGTCCTGTTAGTGATTTTAAAGCAAAGAGAATTCAAAAAAAATTCTCCCTGACAATTCAGGTTGTTAAATACATTGTTAATTTTGATTTTCTCCTTGTTAACCAAAGTAATTTCTTTAGACGATTTATTGGTGAATTGGAACTATGGGAAAGGGGAAAACTCCAGGTGTGACATACTACCATGAATATATTGAGGCAAAATTTGCTACAGGACACTCAAAGATTGTGGTCTTTACTGTGAGACACTCGAAGATCGTGTATTTGCTCGTGGACACTGTAAAAAAGTGGTAATTAGCTGCTGGACACTCCTCCCAATATTTTATTATTTTTGATGAAAACGGAGAGAGAAACTTTGGTTAAAGACAAGTTTGCCCATGGGCCCACTTGTCAATCTCTCTTTCTCTATTCTTCTTCCTCTCTTTCTCTGTTCTTCTTGTTCGACAGCAACGCGACGCTTTTCATGGCCCTCGGTGCGCCCAACAGCAGCAACACGGCGGCCGGCTTCTCGTTCACACTGATGCGCCGCATCCCCTCGGTGCCGACGTTCTACGTCATGACGCTCACCGGCATCAACTGCCGCAGCACGCGTCGCCGGTCTCCGACGCGTCGAGCCGCTTCACGGCGACGACGCGCCCGCCGTCGAGGTCGGCGCGGTACACAGTCCCGAAGCTCCCCTTGCCGATGCAGTACGCGTCGTTGAAGTGCTCTATCGCCGCCAGGATGTTGCCAAAGGAGAACGTCATGTCCTTGCTCCATATCGAGGCCGGCGGCTGGCCCGAGCCTGGACGGCTCGGCCACGGTGGGGCGGCGGTGGGGCAACGGTGGGTAGATGACAAAGCTGGCCGAGGCTGGTGCTCGCCGTGATGCTCTCCGTCGCCGCCGCGCTGCTGGTGTCCATGGTCGTGGTGGTTTGCGTGGTGTCACGCAAGGCGAGGCGAGCCACCGACGTCGTCGTAGAGAAGGCGGAGACATCGGCGAGCGGCGGGAGCTCGACGGCGGCAGCGGCCAGCTTCGTCATCTTCCCGCCGCCGCCCCGCCGTGGCCGCCCCCGCCTCCGCCCCGCCGTGGCCGAGCCGTCCCGGCTCAGGCCACCCGCCGTCGCGCCTCTGCTCTGCTGCAAGGAAGAAGAATGGGAATAAAGATAGGAAGAACAATGTCCTGTAGCAAATTTTTCCATATATTGAAGTTAAATTTGGTGTCAATAGATTACCACGAATAATTTGAAGAGACTATCTAAAAAAACAACCACAAGTCTTTTAGTGGAAATGTTTCAAATGCTATTATATTATAATGGTAATATAATTATACTGTAACTATACTGTAATTGCATTATAACTTTTATATAACCTGTATATATACAAGTATTAAAGAATTTTATGTAACTTCATAAATAAGTTCTATAGAGGTTACAATATAGTTATAATGTACTTATATTGTTAGTTACAATGTAATTACATTGTAGTTGCAGTGTAACTCACCCGATGGCTGCTGGTTGGGAATCCTACTTAGGTGCCGAATTTCACAACCAGGACCCTATTAGCAGGACTGATGGGAAGAAGGTCGGTGTTGGTTTAGGAATTGGCACACCTTTGAGGTTCCACGAATGAAAGAAATAAACCTAGCTCAGTTCGATGCATCAGTTCAAACTAAAGCCGATGCTTGGAGCGTCCCGTTCCCCACCATCGATGGTGATTGGATCTGGCGAAGGCTAACAGGGATATCTAGGCCAACACTCTCTAGCTTGGTTAAGAGGAGGTGGAGGCAACGCAACTAGCGAGAAAAGTATCCGCAACAACCGAATCTGGTGGAGGCTGGTGGGGGTTCTAGGCTACCCCTCGCTGGCTTAGGTGAAGGGAGGCAGCTCTGCCGCTTGCCGTGCCAAGGAGACAGAGATGGCGAGAGAGGGGTGACAGCGATGATAGGAGACAGGCGAGGGGGACAAGAGGATAAGGGTGAGAGCTCGGTTGCATGTGGTTCGGCTCGACACTTTATCTAGTATATAAGTTCTGGTTTTTCTAATAGTGTCGGTTTTTAATAGATCGGCACTTATAAGTTGTTATATGTGTCGGTTTTTAGTTTTAGACCCACACGATGGGTTAGATGAACCAAGACACATGAGGAAAAATATGTACTGTAAACCTTGTTACGATGTTTGCACCATATATTTTGAGTTTCAACCGAGGACGGAACAATGCTCCATGGTCAGAATAAAGTACGGGCC